GAACTAGAAAGTTTATAGACCCTTCCTATTTTGAGATCCTTGATTCTGTGACTTGGCTTATGTATCAAAATGTTTACACAAAGAAATCATGTTATAAAAACGTTTTAATTTGGGGTTGTTTTTTTTTTGGCTAGGCAATGGGGTTAAGTGACTTGCCCAGGGTCACACAGCTAGTAAGTGTTATGCATCTGAGGCCGCATTTGAACCCAGGTCCTCCTGACTGCAGGGCCGGTCCTCTATCCATTGTGCCACCTAGCTGCCCCTATAAAAAGGTTTTGCTGTATTCATTACTTACTACATTTAAGGTAATTATCTTCTATGTTCACTTCCCTGAAGGCAGTGGATTGTATCAAACAACCCAGTTCAGCTCAAGTTCCATCTCTTACATCAAGCTTTTCTTATGTCCTTCCCTCAACACCTCACTACTTCTCCAGAAAAATATCAACCTTTAATTTAATAGGCAGCTAGGAAGATAGAGTGCTTGGCCTGGAGTCAAGAACCGATCTTAAATCAGGTCTCACTTTACTGGCTCTGTGACCTTGGGCAAGTCACTTAAATACTGTTTGCCTCAGTTTCTTCAATTGTAAAATGGGAATAATAGTACCTCTCTCTCTCCTAGGGTTTTTGTGAGAATCAAATAATAAAGTGCTTGCACAAGGTCTGGCACATAGTAGGCACCTTACTGACCCCATGCTATTATTATTAATTTACTTTGTATATGCTTTGCATTTACTTTTTTTTTTTTGCTGTACATGTAATATAATGTAAGTTTTTGAGGGTGGGTACCATTTAATGTTTGGTTTTCTTCCTCACTGACACAGTGTCTAGAGGTCAGTTTGTAAATAAGCATTAAATTCTGAGAAGAGATTTATAGAGAAGAGGGATATAAGATGAATCTTGAAAAAAGCCAAGGAGCTGAGAGATGGGTCTTAAGAAGGAGAGTATTCCAGGCACGGGGACAGTCAGGGAAAAGGTACAGAGATAGGAGAGGGGGAATATCATGGGCAAAGAGCAAAAAGGAGACCAACACGGTTGGATGTAAGGTGTGGAGAGAGAAGCAGAGCATGAGAAGATGGAAAGGTAGCAGGGGGCCAGTCTGTGAAGGGGCCAAAGAGAGAAACAAATTTGATCCTAGGAAGACAGTGAAGTTCACTGAGCAGGAGGGCACAGAGTAAGGACTTCCTAAATGTTGTTGAATGACTGATTGATTGTCTCTGTGAGGATCGTGGCAGCTTCTTGATTTGACTCTGCTATACAGAATATAAGATCCCAGCCATCTCAAACTACATTCTCAAATGATAATACTCCACATACATAAGCATTGTCATTTCTCACTCATGTGGAGGTCAGACTTTGGCATTTGGGATGAATCCCATATGAACACAATCCCTAACCCAGAAGTGAGTGAGGAAAGGTCTCTGCACTCCTGAAAAGCAACCACAGACTCCATATATGAAATCAATATGCTTTATTCCTTAGATAATTCACTCAGATACTCTTTATTCATATTGACTATAAAATCTGAACAAAATGTGTTTGTTATACTTTGCCTGCAGAAAATTAATGTGCAATTAATGTATAAGCCATAACCTCCTCTAAAATGAAGGGTGTTAGTTTAACTGTTTTCTAAGATCTCTTGCAGAGATACAATTCAATGATCAAATTCTGGGTGTCTCAGAAGGGAGTTAGTTAGAGGTGAGCCCAGTGACAGGGATAGTTCAGACAATAGAATGGAGCATCCATAGAGCCAGAACCCTATTACTACACAGTATGATAATGGATCTCACACTTATGACTAAGTCATCAAGAAAAGGTCAAATTATGCTCAGCGTCTTCTATTTAAGGAAGCAGGCAAGGACATAATGCATTTTATTAAGCTTTCCATCAAAACAGGTACAAAAATTATAATGAATTGCTCTGATAGATGCATTTCTGTAGTGTTTGGCTCTGCTCATCCATGATGAATTAGCCCAGATGGATGCAGCTAGGAACCTGCTACACTTAGCCAATAATATGAGCACATCAAGTCCTGCCTGTGATCAGGATCATTCTTGTGGAAGAGCCTGCAAGGCCCTCTAGGCCCAAGGCTGGCAGGAAACTAGTTTTCTGAGAGATTGCGGCTAGTATGGTTCAGGAGGCTACATGCTTCATGGGATCATAGATGATGGAGTCTCTCACTAGTCAGCTTCAGCACCCACCACTTTCTAGTGGACACCACAGGTAAAAGGCTGGTAAAATGGCCTGAAAAACTGATTCTTCTCAATTCCTATTATGATACATCTGGATTTCCATAAACATCCCTCTGTAGAGACATCAATTATCATGATGGGGGCTCCTCTCTCAGACCACTGTGTCTTAATTCACATTCCTAAAGATGCTTTTCTCAGAATCCAATTGATGCAAAAAGAATTAAATGGAATAAGGTGCTCACAGACAAATTTCTCCTTGAGTGGTGGTGCCTTATAATTTAATTTAATTTTTCCAATTAAGAAGTGTGTATTTGGAGGCACCTGGATGGCAGAGTGGAAAGCACTGGGCCTAAAGTCAGGAAAACCAGAGTTCAAATTCAGCCTCAGATACTTATCAGCTGTGTGACTCTGGGCAAGCCATTTAACCTCCGTTTGCCTCAGTTTCGTCAACTATAAAAAGGGGATAATAACAGCATCTACCTCCTAGAGTTGTTGTGAGTATCCAATGATCTTCCATTATCTTGGCTGGTCTTGTCCATAATTTTCTGTATTTTCTATATTAACCCTCCAAAACAAACAAACAAATAAAAAAACCAAGATAAGACAAAACAAAATAAACAAAACAATATCTTCAGACTATCCAAAAGCTAAATTAAGACTGGATTCATTGGACACTATTTCTCTTGAAGAGTCACCTTTACCTTCATCTATATTTCTAGTTTATGGGATACAAAGATTTTCTGCAATAAGTAACTCTTCACACAAAGAGTGGATCAAGTCTTCCCTCTGTGGTCTGACTCACTCATCATCACGCTGGCAGGTCTGCGTTCCTCTAGAGAAGTACCATCATCACACAGCTACATCTCAAATTCTCTCAGGTTTTAGGGTAATTTTATGTGTGTTGTGTGTGTGTGTGTGTGTGTGTGTGTGTGTGTGGTGGGGGAGAGGATACCCTAGATTCCGGTACAATTTTTATGCATACAAGATCAATCAGTCATAGTGACAATTTTTTAAAAATAAACTTTCGTTGCCATCTTTTGTTTCTACATTGCCTAAATTTCCCCTTGTATCTCTCCTTCTTCCCCTTCCAGAAAGGCTTCTCACATAAGAAAGATTTTTTTTTAAGAAAAAGAAAAGGATGAAGAGAAAAAAATCAGGAAAATGATTAATACTTTTAAAAAAATTGAAAACATATATAATGGGCTATGCATGTGAAGTACTCACCTATGCAAATGAGTGGGGGTGTGGTATATACATGTATTAATATTATTGTGCCATAAGAAATTATGAAATGGACCGCTTCTGAGGAAACTAGGAAGACCTTTATGAACTGATACAGAATGAAATGATCAAACTAAGAAGAACAATTTATACAATGATAATGTTATAGAGAAAAACAACTTTGAAAGACTCTAGAACTCTGATTAACACAATGCTAAACCATGAGTCCAAAAGAATGACAATGCATCATTTTAGTCTTATCATGACAGAGAGATGATGAACTTAAAATGCAGAAAAGAGATATACATTTCTGAACATAGCTAATGTGGGAGACTACATAGCTACATATTGTTACAAAAAATGCAAAATGAACATAACAAAGAGTAGCTATGTAGGATGAGGTATCTTTGAATATCTCTTCTTTTGGACTGTGTTCTTTGTAATTTTGAAACAATTCACTTTAGATTGTTTCGCATTTGTTCTTTCCAATTGTACTGTTGTATTCATTATGTATATTATTTTCTTGACTCTTCTTCCTTCGCTCTGCATCAGTCTTTAAATGAATCTTTGTATTTATCATATTTTTACAGCGCAATTATATTCCATTAAATTCACATACCACCATTTGTTTATTCATCCCGTATTAGATGGGTATCTACTTTGTTTCCATTTCTTTTCTTCCATAAAAACTATAGTTATAAATATTTTGGTGTATATGGGGACTTTCCTCTTATAAATGATCTCCATGGAGTATATACCTAGCAGTGAAGGGTATAGTCATTTTAGTCACTCTATTTTTATAATTCCTAATTGCTTTCTGGAATGGTTGTATACAACAACACACTAATGTCCCTGTCTTCTCACAACTTCTCCAACATTTCCATTTTCCCATTTCAACACTTCTTTTTTAAATCTCAGGTGCATATTGATTTTGTTTGTGCTGAAGCTTTTCAATTTCATCAAAATTATCTATTTAATGTTTTGTGATTGCCTCTATCTCAGGCTTGGTTAAGAATTCATCTCCTACCCATAGATGTGAAACATACATGACCTACTTCTCTTCTAATTTTTATGATATAATCTTTAATAGTTAGGTCACATATACATTTTGAATTTATTATAGAATAGAGTATAAGATGTTGGCTCAAATCTAATTTCCATGAGACTGCTTTCCAGTTCTAATAGCAGTTATTTTCACATACAGAATTCTTCCCTAAGTAATTTATGTTTTAGGATTTATTGAACACAAAGTTATTGAGTTCCATTATATCTGATTCTTCTCTTTTTCTACTTTTCCATTTTTTGACCAGTTCCAAATGTTTTTGATGGCTCCTGCTTTATAATATCATTTGAAGTCTGAAAGTACTATCCCTCCTTCATTCTTACTTTTTTATTATTTCATATGATATTCTAGATCTTTTGTTTCTCCAAATGAATTTTATTATTATTTATCAATTCATATAAAATATACCTTTGGTAGTTTGCCTCAGTATTAAAAATATAAATTAATTTTGTTATTGTTCTGTCCTAGCCATAAATACTGAATATTCCTCCAGCTACTCAAGTTTTTTTTTCTTTTTCTTTTTAAAGGACCCTTTGTGTTTGAATCTGCACAAGTCTTTTGCTTTGGGATACCATTAACTCTTAAGTCTAAACCATATAGTTAAGGTAAGGCAAAATCAATGATAATCATTACATCAGTTACTCAATATAAATCAGTGCAGAAATAATCAATACATCATAAATCCTGGCCACACTCTTCCACTAATGCACACAATATCTGTGGGGAAGAATGAGCACCTAGAAATCTAGAAGTAAGTGAGTTATTGAGTGAGATGAATGAGTGAGCACAACTTATAACACTGAACCACAAGCCTTGATGTTCTGGATTTCTTTATTAACAATCTGTACCACATAAAGTTACTTCTCTGCTGACTGTTCCCCTTCTGCTCTATGCCCCTCTCTTGCTGGGAAAATCCTTTCTTCTTCTATTTTTGACCTGATGAAGCAGTGGCAAATTCTTTTGACTCATATAAATCCTTGAAAGGGCTTTGAGGAAATGTTATACTATTGGAAAGCAGTTCCCCTAAGGTTCTCAGATTGGCTTTCTGGGCAATGGGAAGCCCAGCCATCTCCTTACTCAATTGCTTGTGATAAAAGTCATTCAACTTCTTCTAATAGCAAAGCAGAGCTCATAACACAATTCCTCACGTTGGCTCTATAGGTGATGCAAATAATCTCAGCCAGCTCTTCTCTCAACCAGATGTGGTATTATCCAACCATCATTAGCCTATACTATAAAGCATCTATAAAGCCTGTCCTTCCCCCCTTTTTTTCTTTCTCAAACAAGATGGGGGAAGCAGAGAGAAACAGGCACTTTTGAGAGGTTTCACCTCACTCAAAAATATAGGTGAAGTCAAAGGGCAATGGGTAGAATTCATTTGACAGCTCCAGCTGTTGTCTTCTCATTCAGCTCTTGCTGCTTTCTTAGTTTTTCTCCTGCTGAGTTCTTCGACACTTTTTTTTTTGGTAGGCAATGAGGTTAAGTGACTTACCCAAGGTCACACAGTTAGTAAGTGTCAAGTGTCTGAGGCCAGATTTGAATTCGGGTCCTCCTTACTTTAGGGCCAATGCTCTATCCACTGTGCCACCTAGCTGCCCCTCTTCAACACTCTTAATGGCTCAAATCAGAGCCTTCTCATTTTGTGATTCATCTTTCCCATATAAGTTATAATTCACAAAATTACCTTTCTTTTTGTTTTGAAGCCAAAAGTTCTTTATCATCTCATAGTTCAAAAGAGTTATTTGATTTACCATTTTCTGTGTTTTACATTTTCAGTCTCTAAAAACAGTTATGCCAGATGAGCTGCGGGACTATGATGCCTTGCAAGCTCAGTCATTACTCCGTCCTCAAACAGGTCCTCTGTATCCTCTACTAGGTCCTCCTACAGTCTGTGTCTCACATTCCAAAGAAAAAACTATGAGTTTGGGTAAATGAAGTTTAAGTGGTTGTTATTGTTGACAAAAATTTTTGACTTTCATAACTGAACTGTTAACATAAGAAAGAGACAGTACCTTACTCTAGATATCATAAATAAATTGCATAATATATCAATCACACTTCTGTGTGCCAGTACTACTAGAACTAATCCTCTGGAGGGTTGTACAAGATGCCTAAACTCAGGATCAGTTATATTTTCTCCAAGCAGGCATGATGTCCATGCCCCAGGAATTAGTTTTATACTGGCTACTGCATTTATTGCTTGTATCTGGACCTGTCTAGGGGCAAGGTTAAGATGATAATGTTTCCTCTTTGCTAAGAGAGTTTAGTGGTGGGTCATGGGGGACCTTACACCTTACACATGCAACTGTATTTTTCATGGCCAAACGGTGAAGTAGTCCCATTGTAAGACCTTTGTGCTTTGTTTAAGGACAGCTGGAGTGGTTAGCAGTTTTGCATGTAATTCTCACCAACTTCTTTCCATACCCAGGTGTCATTAATATTAGATTTTGTCATATACCTGCATCTGGCCCAGGGTAGACACGTGATCAAAATGTCTCAATTCCTCTCTCATGGTGGACTTTCCATCATGGCCAAGACATTTTCTAGAAAAAAATTATCTAGATCTAAAGCCTTTCCTCTCATCACTTCTGATCCAGGCACTGAATTTATTTTGTAATTCTGGACTGCACAATTAATAAGATTTTGGATAAAAGTACCCAGCCTCCAAACTAATAATTTAAATCCGGAAGAAAATAATATCAGGATAATTGTGTTGCTTTACTACTGTATGCAGAACTTTGTGACAACAATTCGGGCCATTTGTCTACACCTGTAACAAACACCCTTCTGGACAAACCATGGTTTCTGCATGTATTCTTTCCCCCTCTATAATGCCTTGCACTTACTAGGCAATTAATGAATTCTTGTTAAATTGAATGCAATTATACTCACCCTGAGCACAGAACCATAATTAGCACAGCATCAGGCCTTAACTCCAGGGTGCTAATGTCTGTTGCAGGTAGAGCAAAGTACATGCATCTCCTCCCCTCAGCAAACACTGTCTTTGTTGGGCTATGTCTCTATAGGGTACTACTACTGATTATCTTCTTTTCTCAAAACCTACCCTTCTTCGGAACTTCTCAATTATGGAAGGTACCGCCATATTTCTAGTTGCCTAGGTTTGCAACCTTGGAGGGATTCCTTGGTTTCTTTCTTTCTTTCTTTTTTTTGCTTAGGCAGTGGGGTTAAGTGACTTGCCCAGAGTCACACAACTAGTAAGTGTTATGTGTCTGAAACCGGATTTGAACTCAGGTCCTCCTGAATCCAGGGCTGGTGCTCTATCCACTGCGCCACCTAGCTGCCCCTGTTCCTCAGTTTCTTACTTTCTCACATAACCAAACAGTCTTTAAATTTGTTCTTTCTACTCCTACGTCTGTTACATCCATCTCCTTCTCTGCACTCACATGGCCAGTACACCTAGTTCAGGCTCTCATCATTTCTTGCCTGGACTATTTCAGTAGCCCATTCATTAGTCTCCCTGCCTCAAGTCTCCTTTCTAAACCATCATCCATACAGCTGCTAAAGTATACCTCTGACTTGCTTAATAAACTTTAGTGACTCCCTATTACCTTTACAAGTAATCTCTCTAGAGGCGGCTAGGTGGCACAGTGGATACAGCATAGAGCTTGGAGTCAGGAAGACTCATCTTCCTGAGTTCAAATCTGGCCTCAGGTTACTTACTAGCTGTGTGATCCTGTGGGCAAATCACTTAACTCTGTATTCCTCAGTTTCCTTATCTGTAAAATGAGCTGGATAAGGAAATGGCAAACCACTCTAGTATCTCTGCCAAGAAAACCCCAAAAATGGTCACAAAGAGTTGGATATGACTGAACAACAACAAAAATTGCCTCTACAGTCAAGTACAAACTCATCTGTTTTGCATTTAAGCCCTTCAAAATCTGCTTCCAATTTATTTTTCTATCCTTATTATATGTTATCCCCTTCACACATTCTGCTGTCTAGACAAACTGGACTTTTTGCCATTTCTTACACATAACATTCAACCTCTTGTCTTGGAGTCTGCACAGACTGTCCCTCATGACTTCAATTCACTCCCTCCTTATTTCTACCTTTTAGAAATCCCAGTCTCAAAGCTTAGCTCAAACACTAGGCTCTGTATGAGATCTTTCTTGATTTTCACCCTGTGCTACAGTGTCTTTTCCAAGATTACTGGCTATTTATTTTGTATATACTGATTTGCACATATTTTGTCTCCTTCTCTAGAATACAGGCTCCTAAAGGACAGGGGTAGTTCCATTTTTTTCCACCTCTACAACACCAAGTACAATGCTTGACACATAGTAAGTGCTCTATAAATGTGTTTTCGTTGAATATAGTGTCCATTTCCCAGGTTCCACTGTTTATCAACATCCATGGGCTGGACTCTGGGATAATGGCTGCCATGTTTTCCAGTGCAGGTGAAGTTACCATCAAACTATCCTAAATAATCCTAAAACCATCCTAATCCCCCCCTCCAAATGTTCTCTGCACCACTATCAATCACAACCTTCTCCAGTGTTTTTGGCCCAGGTTAAATAATTCCTAGTTATGGCTCTACACAAGCAGCATAGCTCTAGCAGTGAGTAATCACTTAAACGAGTTTCAGATATCCTATTCTGATGTATAGTATATTCTGCAAACTGCCAAGAAGAATTGGCTACCATTGCCTCCGTAGGAAATCCTTGAGTATAGCAGACCAACTGTTACTATGCTTCATCAGCCTTCATACCAGAAGGCATTTCAAGATAGAGTGGTGTCCCTTTCCAGCACTTTTCTATGTAGGTCTGTGACTTCTTCCTGGAGTTGCCCTCTTCACTCTGTAATCATCCCATATTCCACTGGCTTTTGCTAGAGCACTTTGTGTGTGTGTGTGTGTGTGTGTGTGTGTGTGTGTGTGTGTGTGTGAGGCAATCAGGGTTTAAGTGACTTGCCCCGGGTCACACAGCTAGTAAGTGTCAAGTGTCTCAGGCTGGATTTGATCTCAGGTCCTCCTGACTCCAAGGCTGGAGCTCTATCCACTGCACCACCTAGCTGCCCCTTTTGCTAGAGCACATCTTGACTTTGTCCTCATGCACTACCACGAATTACAAAATTATAGAATGCCAGTGTGGGAAGGGACCTCAGGATCCATCTGGCCAAACAGACATGAAAAATTATTCCCATACCACATACTTGTTAGCTCATCATCCAGTCTTGACTTGAAAACATTTCCCAGTGAGAGGAAATCCGCAATCTCCCAACACAGCCCATTCCAGTTTTGAAGAGGCCTAATATTTAGGAAGATTTTTCTCTCCTCTTGATTTGTTTCTTCATGGCATTCACACGTTATTCCTAGTTTTGTTTTCTGGGGCCAAGGAGAACCAATAAAATTCCACTTGAACATAACAGACCTCAAAAAAAATGAAGAGAACTATCATATCTCCCTGTACCAAATCTTCTCTTCTTTAGTGTGCTAAACTTCCTGGTTCTTCTACTTCATAAAATCCCCATCTTCCTTCAAGACATATCTCAAACACTACCCACCTTTCCTGATTCACCCAAATTCCTAACATCTCCCCAGCTACCTAATATTTAACTACTTTGTATTTGTTCTTTTTTGTATATT